GTAGGGAAGGCCGTGCCATGCTCCTCTTGGAGGTCTGCAGTGAAAGGACGAGAGGCAACAGACATGATTGCAACAGGGAAAAAAATCTCACTAGATAGTAGGATCTTTTTTTTTTTTTCACCATGAGGGTGATCAAACACTGGAGCAAAGTGCTCAGAGGGGCTGGGGAATCTCCATCTTTGGAGATAAAACTTCCCTGGACAACCTGATCTTGAGATGGGGATGGGACCAGGTGGCCTCCAGAGGTCCCACCAATAACCTACATTATTCTCTAATGATCTGACCTTGAGCATTGCTTTGGAAAGTTGCTTTCAGCTAAAGAGGAAGCTGCTATATGAATTGTTTAAACAGAAGTTTTTCAAGCCTTGCAATATTTTTCTAGTTCTCTGCTATGCCTGACTGTCTGTCACGTATATTTATCTAAGTAGGGCTCTGTTTTAATAAATCTGGCATTAAAAAGCTATGGCTCAGAAGCAACTGAATTAAGTGACTAAGCATGTTTTAAGGACTAGAATTAGATTTCCCAGTTGTGCATGTTAACCTAAGTGTTAGTTGTGTTCTGGAGATAACATTTTTTCATACTGCTTAAATACCTTTTCACCTAGACAGGCCTTAGCAGTGAACAGGGACTCTTCACTGTCCCTGTTGATTGTAACTTACTTTTTTTTTCCTTTAGAATATCTTCTTGCATATAGTGGATATATCTAATCCCAAGGAAATCTGGAAGTTTGCTGAAAAATTCAAAAATGAACATAAATTAAATGTGTTGGTAAGTTTGCATACTTAAATCATGTGTCTATCTTTGGAGTGTGTTGCCTATGAATTTGTCCAACAGGTAGTCTAGATTTCACAATTTGGCCCACAATTCCCTGCTTAATTTTCTCTAAATGTTTTTGCAGTAGTCTCCATGGTCTGTTTGCTCTTGTCCATTCTTTGTTCACATACACAGATATGACACAAAAAAGAGAGAAAAGCAGTAATTTTTTAGCTGCATCTTTTGAGATTCTTACCACACGTTTTCTGTTTGACTTTTATTACTAATAACTTTGTCCCTTTTAAAGCTGGTCCTTCTTAAAAATTAAACTTTTATAGAAAGTCTAGTTAGAGCAGTCTAAAACAAAGCCAGGGAGAGAGTAAACAGTTAAGCAGCA